TCCAGTGGTGTGGGGCATGCCGAGATAGTCTTCCAAGGATAAGATGCTACACCTGGCCCCTCCCACACAGGAGAAAAGTACCATGTGCAAGAAAGAAGTACAACATTCAGTGGGCTGATCTGGATTCTGGAGACCGCACAATCCACACTTGGGGGTGTTACTCTGGCCCATATACCAAGTGACTTGGGAAGCCACTAGTCTTGCATGGGACCTGGAGCAGAAGAAGGCTCTTCAGTGGGTCCAGGCTGCCGTGAAGGCTGCTCTGTCTCTTGGACCATATAACCCAGCGGACTCAATGGTACTAGAGCTGTCAGTGGCAGATAAAGATGCTGTTTGGAGCCTTGGCAGGCCCCTACTGGTGAATCACAGAAGAGGCCTTTGGGGTTTTGAGCCTTACAGGAAATGGGACATTTGACAATGAGCCACCAAATTGCCGTGGAGCTGAGGAACCCATCTTGAGCTGATGCTATCTGACCCATCAAGCCATGAAGTAGGACATACGCAGCAGCAATCCATTAACAATGGAAGCTGTCTATGTGTGATCTGGCCCAAACAGGTCCTAAGGGCACCAACATGGTACAAAAAGAAGCTGTGCAAATGCCCATGGTTTCTGCTCCCACCACCATGCCATCTGCTGCCCTATGGCCAGCTGACCGAGGAAGAAGAGACCAGAGCCTGGCTTACAGGTGATTCTGTGTGCTAGTCAGACATCACCCAGAAGTGGACAGCAGATGAGCCACACCCCTCTCTGGGACAATCCTCTAAGACAACGGCAAATGGAAATCTCCACAGTGAGCCATACACACGGCTGTACATTTTGTTTGGAAGAAGAAACAGACACCTGTGTGACTGTAGTCAACGACTGAGTGCATGGTCAGGGTCTTGGAGAATTATGCTCAACAACATGGACTTCCGCTCACCAGGCTGACCTGGCTACCCATTTTGCCGAGTGCCACATGTGCCAACAGAAACTGACAGAGCACAGCAACCCGGTGGTAGGCTGACTATATGGGACCACTTCCTCCATGGAGGAGACTGTTGCAGGATATTTGATCCCATTGTGAAACCCAAGATTGTGAACCGGTAAAAACCTGCTTCTTGTTTGGTGTGGTTCGGCCCTATCACACACCTTTAATCCAAGAACTTTCTGTTTATTATAAACAGGTGATTATGATGTGGCTCAGCCAGCACACACCTTAAATCAAGAGCTTTTTCTACACAGGATTTAATAAAGTTAACCCTAGGTCAGGAGGTGGAGCAAGAAATCAGCTGACAGGGATTAAGTAGAAAGGTGAGGCTTTGAGAAAAGGGTGTGTAAGACAACATGGAAAAGAAGAAAGAGCTATTGGACTTTTCCTCCTAGACTGTCAGCTGAGCTGGAAAGCTTTTGGCCTTACAGCTTTTTGGGCTTTTAGCTTTGAGTTTTTGCTTTTTAGCTTTTGTTTTCCTGGCTTTCATTTTTCAGGATGTGAGCTGAGAAGGAAGGTCAGCTGGGAGCTTTCTCTGCCTCTCTGAACTAGCAGGTTTTCACCCCAGCATTTGGCTCCTGAGTCTTCACTGGTAAAATCCAACAATTTGGGATTTTCTTTCAAGACAACACTTCATCCTTACTGTATTAGAATCTTAGTCTGGTTATGGATTTGCCTTTCCTGCACGTAACACTTCTGCCAAAACCACCATCCATGGACTTAAAGAATGCCTTATCCACTGCTATGGTATACCAAACAGTATTACATATGACAAAGGAACTCGCTTCACAGCCAGAGAAGTGGGTCCATGATCATGGAACCCAATGGTCTTAGCATGTTCCCACTGTCATGAAGCAGCTGGCCTGACAGAAAGGTGGAATGGCTTTTTAAAGATACAGTTAAAGTGACAAATTAGGTGGCAGCAGGCTGCAGAGTTGGGGTACAATTCACCAAAGGCAGTATGTGCTGTAGTTTCTCCCATAACCAGGATCCTCGAGTCCACGAAGCAAGGGGTAGAAAAGGGACAGCTCCCACTCACTATCACCCCGAGTGACCTGTTAGGAAACGTTCTTTCTTCCTGCTCCCATGACCTTAAGTTTTGCTGGCCCAGAAGTGTCGGTCCCTGGAGGGGTTAAAGCTTCCACAAGAAGATTTAACAAACACTCCACCAAACTGGAAGCTCAGACTTCCCCCCTGACCGCTTTGGGCTTCTGTTGCCCTTAAGCCAAAGAAATAACAGTGTTAGGAGGTTAACTGTGATGGTTTTGTTGAAATGGACTCCACAGGCTTGCAGATTTGAACGAATCTTAATGAGCCCATGGATGCTTGGTCAACAGAGAGAGGCACTGGAAAGGCTTAGGAAGTGTGTCCTTGGAGGAAGTTTTCACTGGTCATGGGATTTCAAAAGCCCATGACAAGACCAGAGGCTCTCTCTTGCTGCTGCCTGCAGATCCGGATGTGGGACTCTCAGCAACTTCTCCATCACCATGTGTGTCTTCTTACCCCTCTGAAACTGTAAGCAAGTCCCAATTAAATGCTTTCTTTTTAAAGACTTGCAATGGTCATGGTGTGTCTTGGCAGCAGTACAACTAAAACAGTGACTGAGCCAGATTACTGAAAGGAAACTGGATTGCTTCTAACCAATGGAGATGAGAAAAATTACACCTGGAGTGAAGGAAATCCTTTAGGGAATCTCTTGATGTTCCCAAGTTGTTGGACTACCTGGACCACAGCCTGTAAGCCATCCTAATAATAAGTACCTTTTAGATAGATAGATAGATAGATAGATAGATAGATAGATAGATAGATAGATAGATAGATGATAGATAGAGATAGATGACAGATAGATGATTGACAGATGATAGAGAGATAGACAGATGATAGATAAGATAGAAAGATATAGAGATAGATAATAGATAGCTAAATGGTAGATAGATGACAGATGGATTATAGATAGATAAATAGATACATATATAATACATATAGAGATAGATAGATGACAGATAGATTCTATGAGTTCTGTTCCTCTGGAACTCTAATATATTTCTCAAGTAAATTAACAACATTTCCTACCATCCACAAGAGAAAAAAAAATCATTTCAAAGTAAAGAGAAAGGAAGACGAGAAGGGGAAGGTGGAGAAAGACACGAGGAGGAAAACACTGATAAAAATTAAAAACAATATCTATGCAAAATAGTTGATAATAAAATTATTTATATATATAGTTTAATTGTAAGGATTAAGAAGAATATAAAGCTCTGATATATAACAATATTTATGATATATACAACAAAATTATTTAATAATTAACCAAACACATTCTATGTGATTGTCCAATCCATAAAGTACTATAAACGTTAGATATGAAAGCAAACAAGAGTCATATTTGATGGTAAGGAGCAGGGATAGCTTGGCAAGATGGTTCTGAGGAGGAGCGAGCAGGAGCAAGCCTTGCCAGTACCTAAGCCTTCTGTCTTGGTCAGCATGGCAACTGCAGGTAGTGACATGAAAGGAAACTTCACAGTTAAGAACTTAGTACTTAACCATAAATATTTAAAGTGTACGTCCAGTGGAGAGTGAGGTGGTCCTAAAGGAACACTAAATAACATGTATTTCAGATTCTACCTAAGAATAGAGTGAAAATGTGCCATCGTGTAAAAAGTTTAAGGCACTCCCCACACCCATTTTCTCACAATTAGAAAGAAAAAGAAAAAGACACTCTCACTTACATTCTCACAGCACACCAGAGCCATCTTTAACACCGATGGCTAAACTCAAGGTAGAAACACTGAAAACGTATTTTAGAACTTTAAAATGATTTGTTATGCTCAATATTAAGTATGGTAAAAATCAGCTAAGATTTTATCATTTATCAAACTTATAAAATTATATATACGTAAAGAATGAACTGACATAACATAGGATACACCTACTAAAATCTGTACATCTAAAGAAACTAAGCAAGAGAGAGGACCCTGACTAAAACGCTCAATCCCCATCCTGAAAGGCAAAGAGGTTGGACATCAGAAGAAGAAGAAAACAGGAAACAACCTAGGAAGCTGCCACAGAGGGCCTCTGAAAGCCTCTGCCCTGCAGACTATCAAAGCAGACGCTGAGCCTGATGGCCAACTGCTGGGCAGAGTGCATGGAATCTTATGTAAGAAGTGGGAAATAGTAAGAGCTGGAGAGGACGGGAACTCCACAAGGAGAGCAATAGAACCAGAAAATTTGAACACAGGGAACTTTCCAGAGACTCATACTCCAACCAAGGACTGTTCATGGAGATAACCTAGAACCCCTGCACAGATGTAGCCCATGGCAGTTCAGTGTCCAAGTGGGTTACATAGTAAAGGGAAGAGGGACTGCCTCTGACATAATCTGATTGGCCTGCTCTTTGACCACCTCCCCCTGAGGGGGGAGCAGCCTTACCAGGCCACAGAAGATGACAATGCAGCCACTCTTGATGAGATCTGATAGACTAAGATCAGAAGGAAGGAGAAGAGGACCTCCCCTATCAGTGGACTTGGGGAGGGGCATGCATGCAGAAAGGGGAGGGAGGGTAGGATCGGGAGGGGAAGAGGGAGGGGCTTATGGGGGAATACAAAATGAATAAAGTGTAATTAATAGTAAAAAAATAAAATAAATTAAAAAAAAATGAATGAACTTCTTCCTTCGAAGTCTAACAGGACAGCCGGGGTCTTACTAGAGGCCTTCCATGTATCTTCCGAGTACTTGAGGTTTCTGTCTTATTACTTGTGTCTTTCTTTGTTATAGATTAATTTAGGACTTTTATTTGTTTAAAGTAAGAAAGTATTTTGCATTTTTACAAAGTAATACAAAAAAGTTATAGCCTATGATTTTGTTTTTGAGGGTTTTTTTCTTTTCCCTCTTTCCTCCCCAGAGGCCCTTCAAGTCCCCTCCCTCAAATGCCTTCTACAATTTAAATCTAAAACAACAAACAAAAAATCACAAATAAATCCTCAGACTTTAGGCATTCTTTAAAAACAACAAAATTAAAAATCTGTAAAATGGACGGCCCCTCAAGGCCTGCAGGTGAGGCTGCTGTGTGCCACATGTCAGCAGGCGGCCGAGAGGAGAGAGGCCATGTCTGTGCTCCGTGTTCCGACCTGTGACATCTGACACTCCCTGAGAGCCAGCCTCGCCTCTTGTCAGCTGGACCACATCCCTCACCATCTATGGCAGACGGGAGAGCTGGCCCTGTCTCTCACTGGCTGCAATTCTCGGAGAAGGGACCCTACACCTTGCTGAGGCAGCAGGGCAGAGCTGGCCTACTAGCAGGGGTTACTGGTGAGATGGCCCCAAGGCCATGAGTGTGGGAGAAGACTGACCAGCTGAGGTACCTCCCAGGACCAGATCTAGAGCTTTGAATTAGCTCACCCCAATGTCTATCCCACCAATGAACTGTTAGAGTGCATGAAGGGCCCCATCCTACAGATCTAAAACTACAGGACTTCCATGACAGAGGGCAACGGCAGGATGTCTGAGAGGAGTCCAGTGAGGATCCAGTATTGATAGAATACAGAAGCCCAGACCAAGGAATCATTGCAATGAACATTTACAAGCAAAGAAGTCTGGACAAAAAGGTATACTGTGTGACACACTGACACACTACAGTTTCCACAGTGAGATCATTTTTCTCTGTTTGGAGGAGGTTGTAAGGGCAGAGGGTAAGTAAAAAGGGAGGGGAGATGAGTGGGATTGGGGTGCATGATGAAACATTCACAAAGAACCAATACAAAGTTTTTGAAATACATATGTATAACTTGTTCTCTTTACAAGACAAAAATTATAAAACATTAAAATAAAGACCTTGAAGTTTAGCATTTGAAAAACCTCAATTTTACTATTTTATGTGTAATAACTGAAAGTATATTATAGTCCCTTAAATAAACATGTATATATGCTTTAACACATTTCTTGGGACAAATATAACAAGTTTAAAGAATAAAAATTAGACTACACATCATGGCCCATCCCAATTGTATTCCAATTTATACTGCTTTGACAGAGTGAAGCATTTACATTCGCTACACACACTCTGGTCTGACAACCAGAAGAGACTACTAGTATATCCTCAAAAGAAAATCTAATTTAGAAAGTTAATTTCAGATGATTAAATATTCATGAACATTCTAAAGTATCTATGTAATTGGCTTAAAAATAAACCATAATTAGATAACCAAAAATTGAAAATCAGGAAATAATTAAAATACAACAATCATATCAATTTTAATTACTATGTAGTAAGTTCTACAAATGAGCCCTTATTTTATTGAAATTTGATTAGACCAAGTGAAATCTGATTAGTACTTAGGTGTCAAACTTAAATTTATATTTTGTCAATATAATAATGTCCAAATTACTTGGAGATCTTTCCGGGATTTCTGAGTGAGTCGGCACCTATGTCAGTCCCTGCACACTGCAGAACTAACTCTCCTAAGTTAGTTTAAATGAGTGTTTCCTGAGCACTAATCGCTAATATTTTTAACAATAAGTGCTTTTATTTGGGTGTTAAAATAAATTATAAATGAAAACTTCATCATTAAACACATGATTTTAAGAAGGACTGACTCTGTTCACAAAACATCAATACAAGAATTAGTATAAATAAAATATTCAAATCTCTTTAATTGTGATGCATAAGCTTTCAATTCCTTCTATTGAAGGCAAGGAACAATTTCAATCTCTAAAAGATTTTGAAACATAACCCTCTAGAATGGATTAGTGTAAATGACTTGCTCAATAAACTAATGTAAATTCAATTTAGTCAAGCATAAAGGAATAAATAAAATCAATGTCAAAAATTATTTCATCAAAGTACAAATTAACAATAGCTCAAAAATATTCTTAAAGATTTTCTAGAAATAACATGAAGCATTCAGTAGCCTACCAATAAGAACACTGAAAATGAAATGTGAGAGAAATCTAACCAGCGCCTTGCTCAGCAATCACCACAGAAGCTCCCTCCATACAGATGAGAGCAAATACAAAGACCCACAGGCAGACAGCATGCAGAGAGTCGGGACCCTGGCACCCCACCTACAGGGGTGTCCCCATCACACCTCCCCTCAGGGCTCAGAGAACCCTGAGATAGAAAGAGTTTTAGAGACATGGGATGGAGGACACCAGGAAAAGGCGGCCCTGTAAGTCAGCATGATCAGAGCACACGAGACTCCGTTCAGGAAAGGACTCAACGCGCACAGAGCCTTCACTGCATGGATGTCAGGGCTTCCAGGTTCCTGTTCCTATGGGATTCCTGAGTGCATGGAAGGGTGAGCGTCTGGTCCTGCTGCCTTCCCTCGGGCTCCCCTTCTGGCTTTTGTCTCCTCAAACTGAAATGTGTTTTTTATCTTAGCATATTTTATTATTATCCCTTCAAAGTCTGTTTGTTTTCTAGTAAGAGCAAAACGGAGTGAATCTGAATGGGAAGAGAGATAGAAAGAACTGAGAGGGGTGGAAAGAGGGGAAACCGTAATTAGGGTACATTATGTAAGAAAAATTCATTTTCAATAAAAGAAAGAAGAGATGAAATGCACTACAGGAGGATAAATGAGGAAACTAAGTACAAGGGGCGTTTCTAGAGCTGCAGGGGTCCTGAAAACCTAGCTGCCAAGGATTGCTGCTTCTGAAACTTTAAGGAAAGATAGATTATAAGCAGTGTCAACTGAAATCTTTTAAACACTTAAAGATTAGTAAGACACAAGTTATTTCAAACTGAGTTATATGAAGGCATTCATTATCAATTTCACGAGAGTCGACAACTCCCAGCACACTCCGATCGGCACACGCGTTCTTGGTGTGTCTCTACAGTCAGCATCCTGGAAAATCATGGGGGCTATCTTACCATGATCTGTGAATGTTTTACCATTCAAGATGATGAAGAAGCAAACCACATTATTTCACCATGACATATTCAACACCATTAGAAACAAATGTTCTGGTGCTTACCTGTATTTTAACCGGCCAGGAAAAGTTGCTGACATACACATAAAATGTGATGTTGGGATTGCTTCTGAAGTTAAATTTTTCATAGGAGAAGCTATCTCTGTATTCCTTTATATTTGTCTTAGAAACTATGGGAGTCTCTTCCCCAGATATTGTCCCACCTGAAATATGAATGAGTTGTAATTGATATGAGGAAACAGGGATCTTTGTTAAATCACACTATATGGTACAACAAAGTCTCACAAAGTGGAAGCACAAGAACAGCATGAGCAAAACTGTGCCGTGCCGGCGCTTTCTGCTGTGGAGGCGCACACAGCACCTTCGCCATTTGGAACGAAAGGTCAGGTTTGCCAAAAATGCAATGTAACAGATTTAGCATAGATGCCACATTTTAAAATGCTGCCAGGCTGTGCAGTTGGCTCTGTTTGAGATCTGATATTCTCTCATTGAACAAGTGGGCCCAGAGAGACCATCATTTCCGGTTTTCACACTGAAACCCGTGTCTCAGGGGGAAGGAAGCCACCAGCAGTGCCAGGATCCTGGCATTGGCAGCAGGCAGCCCCAGAACCAGAGCTCCTGCCTACACTAACTCTGCAGAGACTTTCCTACAATCAAACCGTATTTGCTCATGTCTTAACCCAATTAAAAATGAAAAAAAAAGATCACCTTAATTGCTTTTCTACAAATTGAACCATTCCTACCTTTAAAAATCTAGAAAGAGGCTGTAATTTAAAATACATGAAAGTTCAACTAGTGAACATACTGAGCTCAGCAAATATTTACTGAAATTAGCCAAACGGAAAAGGGCATTTCCAAGGATCCTAGCTAGACCTCTCCCTTACTGAGCAATAGGGTAATCCAAGTTAGTGCGCTGGGGACTAAATGTATTTCCCGTGGGTCTGCTCTAAAAGGAGCTCCTGCGCACTCTCGACACTCGGGTTATCTGATGTGCTCACCTGACAGATGTGTTGAAAATGACCTCACAAACTGTCAATTCAACACAACAATTTAGCTTCCTTCTAGATGTGACTTCTTAGAAACTAATCATTTCAATTGTGAACCTTATTAGGGAAGACATGTTCATAAAATGCATTTCCTCTCAGCCATGGGGCCAACCGAAGGATTGTATTTTTAATAAAGAAGATAATAGATATTTCCTTTTATCAGTAAGTATGGAAGAACACTTCTGTTTTGTGTAAATATTCACATTGCTAATTAAATTTATAACTTCAATAATGAATTGAATAATTGAACCTTAGTCTCTTTAGAACTAATCTCTCTTAACTGAAGTCACAGTACTTTCTAAGAGCAGCACTTTAAATGCTCAAGTGGTGTGTGTTATTTGTTCAAATTTTAATTGAATAAGGAAGTTACAGTAGTAAGCTTTCACATTACTACTTGTAATTTGATCAGTAAAACCGCAAAATGATGAAAAGCAGTTGTATTTTTTTATTCATTTAAAAGAACAGTAAATCAAATCAGAACAACTTCCATACGTAGAGACATGAGAGCAAACTCTTTTTACCTGTTGAGCCAACCGACCATGTGATGTTGAGATTAAAGTTGTTAGAAGCATTAATCGAAATGTCCAAATTCTTGTTCGACTACCAAAAAAGTAAAGTTAAAATAGGTGTGTTACATACATTTTAATCAACCCACTGATTTGATTTGTCCACTAAATTTGTATATAATGTAAACATTCAACTGAGTAAACGCAGAGAGTTTATGCTATTTCATGAAAAGAAAACTGTGACAAAGTCGAAGGCAAGGTCCTTCATTTATCTTCTCTAATAATTTGGATTTTTGTTTTTATGTAATTTCTAAGAAGAAATTATGACATTATACTTATAAGGATAGTCAGCTATTATTATTAGTTAAAGTGGTTTTTTTTTCCATTTGTTTAATCTTTGTCTTTACCCAGAAGGAAGAAAACAAACAAACACACAACAAAACAGCAGGCCTACAAAGAGGACTGCCTCACAACCTCTAAGGTGTGGGTTTTGCATAGTGTGTGCATGTAAGTGCTACAACTATTATTTTTATGACTGCAAAACACAGACACAATGTATGCGAGAGAAAGCGCAGCCCATGGTTTCTCTTTTAAGCAGCTCTTCATATCGTGTGATTTGCTTTATTCTGGGTGGTGGGAGTGAGAAGGACTACCGAAAGTTCACAATAAAACAGACAACATGAGCACATGAAACTATCTTAAATTTTTAGTTCATCATGTACAGATTCAAAGTTTAGTTACTGAGGAGATACAAAGTTCCAAAAGCGAAGCCGCAAGCACACTCCGTGCCCATGCTTTCTGGAAAGTGGTGTGGAAGGTGAGAGCAAGGCTGATCTGTGTGTGAGCTCACAAAATCGAGACGCACCATAGAAGCCCCCTCTAGACCTGCTCAGAGGAAAGCCTAACTAGACGTAATGAACAGTGGCTTCAGACCGAAACCCACTGTAGACATGCTGGAAGTGACAAACGACAAGTCATCTCCTGCTTTATTTTCACAGGCTAAGTTAAGAGGCCCTCACCAACAAATGGTTTAACTTGTCCTCCCAGGTAATTCTTAATTAAAAGAGTTTACACACCAGAACCTCATGGCATTATGTACCTCGGGAAAACGGTAGACTGGCACAAAGTCAGTGAAAGCCAAAGACAGGTTTCACTGCAAATGAATCAGAGTTTGATACAGCGTGCTTTGAATTCTTGTGTTTTACTTGAAAATGAGAATTTTCTGAATTTTAAGTGTATAATTATAAGCATAAATATGGATACATGATGTAACCAGGAGATTACTAGTCAAAATTACTAATTTTTTGTCAATTATCTGAATCACAAGGACATCTATGTTTCATGAAAAGAAAATTTAAGAGTTTCAGTAATGCCCCCTCTGTAATAATTCTGAGAGGTTAAATGACAAGGAAGGTGGCAGAAAACATGGTGCCTCGGTGGTAGCAACTCTCCCCGGAGGAGCGGCAGCTGCTCACCTGCTCTGGGTTTGCGATGAAGTTGATGGCCGTGTGGTGGCGGTCATCCTCCTGCAGCAGGCTGAAGGTAAACTGGTAGTCAATCAAGAGGCTGTCTGTGGAGAAAAGAGAGTCCTGACACACACTGGGAGGAGAGCTTACAAAAGGCAGGACTCGGGGAAACACTTGCACACAATTATCGTTGAATACTGTGCTTATTCAAGTGCAGCAAAATACAAACCTATATCACTAAGCAGCAAAAACACAGGTGACAAAAGTCTCAGTTTACTGTAAATTAAGTAAATAACAGACTGCACAAACTGTTTCTCTATCAAACTGCACAGAAAGAAGAAAAGTGCACAATCAGGAAATGCTCTGTTTCTCCTCAGAATGTCAGAATCACAGGACTGTACATTGGGGGGGGATTAATAACTAATTAGCTGGCATTTGAAACATAGACCTAATGCCAATAACTTAGTATGCTCTACATTCTTCTACTGAGTGGAGTAAAGAACAATATATATAAAATTTAATCTAAGTTTTGAACTTAAACAAATGGGATATGATTTTAAAGTGTATTTTATATTGAGTTATTGAGCCATTCCTATGCATCAATAAAAAGATATAAAGAAAGAAGAGAAATCAAATTTTCAATATAGGAATGACTAATATTGTAAAATAAGAGATTATAACAAATGAAAAGGTGGTGTATGTTAAATATATGACATAAAAAGCATCCTTGTGGGTCAACCTAAATATTCATAAAAAGCATAATGTATGAGAGATAAATTCATAGTATACATAATAACCAAAAATTGAAATAATCTAAGGTCATATTGCTCATGTGTAAAATAAATGAAATACTGGATCTACTATACATGGTACGAGCGAAACTAAAAAATGTTACACTAAATATTTAAAGTTGTAACAAGTAGCACATATCTCATGGTTTCATTCATATGAGATATTCACAGAGGCAGAAAAAAGCTATCTAAGGTCTAGGTGAAGAGGACTGGACACAGCCATTAAAGCCCTGAAGCATTATTTTGAGAGAAAGGAGATGATGTAAAATTAGAAATTAGCGGGTTAGCTAACTAACTGTGAATACTCAGAAGCATCCTGAGCTGAGCACTGTGACTAGAAGACCGAGGACAGCTCAGATACTTACTAACAATTGTAAACATCCAGGCTGTTACACATCTGTGCACACACACTGACACAAACAAATTATTTACAAAGAAATACTAACAGTATTGTCAATTTGACACAAGCTACGGTGCCCTGGGAAAAGAAAATGTGATGAAGAAAAGGCCACCCTCACACTGGGCTGTAAGGCAGGTCTGCCAGGAGTCGATTTGTTTAGTGATGGCCTGGAGAGCCCCGCACACCGTGGACAGAGCTGCGTGGACAGAGCTGGCTCCTCACCAGCAGGTCTGCCTTCTGCAGCACAGCAAGCTGAACATGCAACATTCTTCCATGGCCTTTGCCTCAGGTCCTGCCTCCAGGCTCCTGCCCTCACTCCCTCAGCGATGGACCACAAATGCATGCTGAAATAAATCCTTTCCTGACCTAGCTGCTTTTGGTTTTGGTGTTTATGAGCGCAACAGAAACCCCAATTAGAAAAGCTGCCAAGCACATTCAATAACAATGAAGATGAACAGACATGATGTAAAGCCACAATTAGTTATGGAAATGCATGCTCAGGCATGCTTTTCAAATTCAAATATGATGACAATAATTTAAGGGATAAAATATCCTAAAAATATACATTCACATATATTCAAGAACGGAAAGTAAAGAGAAATATGGCACAAAAGAAGAGGAGACTCAGAGATGAAGAGATGAAGAGCACCGGCTACTTTTGCAGGGGCCTGGTTCAGTCACAGCACCCACATGGAAGCTCACAGCTGTCTCTAACACAGTTCCCAGAGGTCCCATGCACTCTTCTGGCCTCCTCGGGCACTTCACATAGGTGGTACAGACATACATACAGGCACGACATACATACACGTAAAAATATTTACAAGGAAAAAGCACATAAATAAAAAGCATTACAGTGAATAAATAAAAGAGTTACACTTAGAAAGTATAGTTATATGAAAATTATTAAAAAGAAAACATTATCTTGTTATATCTATAGTCAGATTGTTTGCTGAAGGTGTTTAAAAAAACAGCTACAGAAATAATTAAGATAACAAACCATGCTGCACACTGGTAGTAATCTCAGCACTAGGGAGCAGAGGCAAGCAGATCATCAAGGCCACCCTGGTCAACAGAATGTGTTCAAGGACAGCCAAGGTTATGCAGAGAAACCCTGTCTCTAAAACAACCAAAATAAATTAACTAATTAATTAATAACAAGCCATTTAAGTGACAAGGCAAGCACACACATAAACAGCCACAGTTTTCATCCCAGAAACTTGTTTATTATACTTGGATAACATCTAACCCAATATATGAAATTAATAAATAAAACACCTTTTTTGAGACAGAGTTTCTCCGTGTAACAGTTCTAACTGTCCTGAAGCTTGCTCTGTAGACCAGGCTGGCCTCGAATTCACAAAGATCCACCTCCCTCCACCTCCTGAGTGCTTCAATTAAAGGCGTGCACGACCCCCACCACCCCAGCTAGATAAAACACTTTATTATTATGTCTAACTAGTTAGACATAACATCTGTTTGAAAGTATATAGAAAAGTGCTTGGCTTCTAATTATTAATATACATCCAGAAACGTGATAGCCGCTATTATCATTTAATAACATTGCCCTGAAGATGTTCATATTTTGTAACAACTTATCATTTATGAATAAACAAAAGCATTTTATGGTTATAATGTAGGTGACAATAATTTATATTTCTAATGATTATGTTCTGAAAACCTTGCATTTTTTAAATTTTGTCTATTTATTCTACTAATAATTATAAAGATGTCTGTACATTAAATTTCTATTTGTGTTATAGTTTATATTGTGCTTTCATCAATCTTTGATCCTCCCATTAGGCTTATTTTACTACCTGTGTATTTCAGATATGAAGGAAGTACTGAAATATAATGTATGGCATACAGATGCTATAAGTTTGCCCTGAAATGCAGAAACAATTTTAAACTAAAGACTTTTTAAAAGGAGCTAAGTTTTGAATGTATATCAGAAAGTATATTAAGGAGGTTAGATGTGCAAGTAGGAAAAACACTTTGGGCTTACTGTTTTGCTTTTTTTTTTTTATTGTCATATTCATGTCCAAAGAAAACAATGCCTACCAATAACACCCCAAAATGAACATCTTAGGGAATATTGCAGTCATGTGTTTTGTGTAATCCACATGAAACAGCAGTGTTCTGGAGTCCTTGTGACAACGAGCACACAAAGAATGAACACACAAATAAAACTAAGATAGTTGAAAGAATCTCACAACTATTAATAACTACTGAAATATGTAGATTCATTTAACTCATCATTAATCACAAAATTATCAGACTGGAGCAGCACCATGACATGACTATTCATGCTCCGAGGGCAAGCCTTGCTCTGGAGGACAGACGATGCGGAAGAAGGAAAACACACCAGGCAGCTCTTCACAAGAAGACACTGGTGCCGTGAGATGTAGACGGTATCGACATGACTTGCTGAATTCTTATCGCAAAAAGCTGTACGGCGCAGCCACGAAAATCCAACCTGATACAGAAACGCCAGCTACAGAGATGCCAGTGCCAGGCACGCACAAGGCCCAGTGTGCTTTCCAGCACCAAGGGAAGAAGAAAGCCTGGGTAGTCTCTAAGAGATCAATTTAATAGTGATTAACAGCAATTTTCCTTGGGCAGGATCACTGGGGATCTTAATTTGCCTGTTAGTCTATCTTTTTCTAGAATACATATGGATTGCCTCTCTTACTAGGATTAAAAATGGTATTTTTAAAGGAATATACAGAGAGAATCATTTTCTTGAACACTGACCTATTAAAGTTTTTATATCATATACTTATATGATTAACAGTTAAATTACCATAGTTATATTCATTTCAGAAAGCGACTTATCTCACTTCTAGTTTGGATGTTTCTTGGATAAGGACTAGAGTGTAATTCACACAGATGGTACGGTGTGACTGAGAGGCACTGCTCGGGTTTCAAAGTGTTGGTACCTTCCGGCACGGAAACAGAATCCAAGGAAGCAAACAGTGCAGGCTTGTACAGAAAGTGAAGACTTACACAAACAGTAAGTGATGAGATAAACAAGCCACGCAGCTTTGAATACCATCTGATATTTGTGACACATTTACAAATCTCACTTGACAAAGATCGCATGACCTCCAAACATTTTGTTAAACAGGTTTAGCCAGGAGCATGTATATGTAGCAACAATATGTGCCTATTCATTCCTTTATTAATGATTTACATGTGTGTGCTACCGTTAGGCCTGCTATAAGGATCATACATTCCGACGTATGGAGGTCCAACCAAACAAGATGCTGTGCACTCAAAATTTCACTTTATATGAAAGAAGGGTGTAACTGAAATAGCTTCATACCCTATAAATATTAGGCAAAAATAAAGATCTCCAATTGATTCAGAAGGGAGAAAAGTAGCAAAGCTAAAAGCCTCAATCGAACAGAAAGGTTACGCTACTTAGGAATAAACAGATTAAAGCATTAAAGATTCTGATAAAATCAAAATTGCCCCATCCACATATCAGTCTGTTTCATGACTGACACTGCAGTATTATATGCACAAGCCACAAACCGGGAAAGCTATAAGGAAGGGGTTCAGGGGAATCGCACACCTAAAGGCAGAAAGCTCAAAATGTCAGCCGCTAGCCAGCCTCTGATGAAGGCCCTGGTGCTGCCTCACCCAGGCCGGAAGGATACACATCCTGCCTGGCAGGCACTTGATGCGTCACGCCTTCAGAATGCGCTCAGATCTGTGTCCACAACCAAGCCCAGATCCAGGCCAACAGGCCAAAGTCTACTCAAAGACAAGCTCACATCGAGCTCTCTAAACGTCAAGTAAAAGAATCCATTAAGCAGACACAGCATGTGGCCGTGAACAAGAACAGCCTCTCGTTCATATTTAAAGCAGAGACCAGAAGGGTCTCACTAAATATGGATTAATCTCATGTGCT